AAAGGTAAAGGCCTTAACGGCCAAGCCTCGTCTGTCCTGCTGCCGGCGTCCTCCGAGGCTTTGCTCCCCATCTCCCTGGTCTGCTGGAGACAGCAGACCAGAGAGACGGGGAGCAAAGACAGCTGCGGCGTGTCTGGGCTGTCCTGCTGCCTGCGTTCTCCGCAGCTTTGCTCAGCCTCTCTCTGGTCTGCTGGGCGGGGCTCCCTGCCCCCAAGCTGACCAGGGAGACACGGAGCAGCTTTTCTCGCCCCAGAGGACGCGGGCGGCGGGACCGCGGCGCAACTGGGCGTCCCGCTGCTCCCGTCCTCCGGGGCGAGAAAAACCCCGTTCGTAACTGAAGTCGAACATAAGTCGGATCCACATAACTCGGGGACTGCCTGTACATAGCATTCTGCTTATTGATATGTACTCTCTTTCATCTGCTAACTAAGTAACTGTTCATGTTTGTTCTGGTTCGTTTTAAATTTCTGTTTGTAGCTATGCTTGTGACATTGGGATTGTGCTCTGTGAGAAGCCTGAATTATCTCAATTTCTGCTTAGAGATTGCTTGGCAACGGTCTTAATTGTTCATTTCTATGGATTTTTAAATGTGTGAGTGATACACAGTGAGTAACCTCAACTTTCTCCTAGTACTTTGTTTTTAGCACATAATGAGGCAAAGTCTAGTAGTAAAATATCACTTATCCAATTCTAATAGTTTTATTCATTTAATTTTAATTTTAAACATTTAATTTTCAGAATAAAAATTACCTCTGTAGTATGTTATATTGTGATGCTCAGCCTGGCTGGTTATAAAGCAGTCTTTCACAACACTGGTGTATATGATTAAAAATATTTACATTTAGTGCATTGACACATTGCAGAATCAAGGCCACTGCTTACATTGAAACATATTTCCAAAGAATTCTTTGGAATCTGCAAACACACATGTTAATTAGGTGAGTAGTACCGTTCAGTTATATGGGCCTAATTACTCAATTAATTCTACTCATATGAATTTGTGTTTGCAGGGCCACAGCCTGTATTTTCATATAATGGATTTTTTTTGCATATCTTCCCAGATGCTTTCAATTTAAGATGCAACATATTCATGTATTAAACTTTTTAATATGAAGCAGTATTTGCCTCTTTATGAATGTTTGTATATATTTAAATGGCCAAGCATTTGCAGGAACATACAACAAGGAGTAAAAGTATTCAGTAATTCTTCATCTGTAGTTTCATTATTTCCTTCTTGTTACCAGGAAGAGAAGATGTGACTATACATGCCTTTGCCTTCCCTAGCTGTGATAATTCTGCCGGGGAGGGGAGGTGTTTGCACTTTTTGCTGAATATCTGTAGGCTTAGGAGTTTGAGAGAATTCTGCTGCTATCTGACTTCCTGTTGTAGGAGTCTGAAGATTATATTGCCACATATTCTTTACACAGGGAATTGAAAACTATCAGTGGAGAAGTACAGCAGTGGCTGTACTCAACTGCTTCTAAGTGGAGTTTATGGAGCCTAAGTGTGGCTTCCACAACAGGAAGATGAAATTTGGTGACTTTTTATTGTGCACATGGGATCAAACAACCTACCACTCATACATTTCTCCTTCCATCAGTAAAATTTACAACAGGGTAAATAACTTAATCACCACCATTCCTCTCCAGTTACCTCTGATGTCAGTAAGTCCAAATCCTCAAAAGTGTTTAGGTACCTATTACTCACTGAATATCTGGGCTTAACATATAACATAAAAATGACCTCATCTAGTGACACTGCCCCAACTATAATGATTATTAGAACAATGCCTAATAATTGTTTTTAATTATAAACAGCTTTCTTCATCTGCAGCATATTCTGCTTACTGAGTTTTAATTATATGGAAAGTTTATATAGTTAGTAACAAGCCATTTGTTAGCTATAGAAGTATGAAAAATTAGGTTTTTTTTAAATGAACCATTTACAAATAATTATTCAAACACCTTGGTATTAATGAATCCTTTAAAAACAGCACGTCTATAGAACAGAAAGTTTTAAGACCCAGTATAGATGTCAATTGACCTATCTTTCACAGATTTAAAAAGAAAGTTCTGCTTCGATTCTTTTAGCTTCATGATTAAGGCTATGATTTAGTCACAGGTATTTTTAGTAAAAGTTTTGGACTGGTCACGGGAATAAACAAAAATTCATGACCCATGAGTTGTACTGTAAATACCCAACTAAATCCTGGGGGTTGGAGCTCTGCTCACTATGGCGGTATGGCCAGTGAGGGGTAGGCCCAGGATGTCGCTGATGGCGAGGGAAGAGCCAGTGGCAGAAGGTGCTGGGGGCCGCCGGAGCAAAAGTGACTGCTGTGGCCACCCCAGGGATCGCTGCCAGGGGGTCCCTAAGGCCAGCTGCACCAGCTGCTTTTCAGGTGGTCCCCAGAGCTAGCTGCCTTGGGGCTGCTCAAGTAGTGGCAGATATGGATGACTAAGGGACTGTCCAAACAGCTGGCTGTAGAGCCACTCCAGCAGTGAATTGTTGTGGCTGTCCCCAGAGCCACCTGCGCAGCTGGTTCCAGGCAGCCTTGGAGTCAACCACACTGGCCAGTGCAGAAGTCACAGAGGTTGTGGAAAGTCAAGGAATCCATGACTTCTGCAACTTTCATGAGAGACATGGAACCCTGTTCATGACTGATTGGTATCCTAGAGTTTGAGCGGGGTAGCCAAGTTAGTCTGTAACAGGAAACACTTTTAAAATAACCAATAGTCTGGTAGCACTTTATAGACTAACAAAACATGTAGATGGTACTGTGAGCTTTCATGGGCACGACCCACTTCTTCAGATGACCGGTCACGCAACAAATCAGGCTGTGCCCACGAAAGCTCACGATACCATCTACGTGTTTTATTAGTCTTTAAAGTGATACCAGACTATTTGTTTTTTAAGTTTTTCCTGGTATTCTAGAGTTCATGATCCAGAGTGTAGAATAGAGAAGCTAGGTTTTCCAGAGATATTTAGTCAAAACATCAGAACACCGTTCACCAGTTTTTTATTTTGGTTACACTGCAGCAAATCTAGATTATCTCCATTGCTTTCAGTGGAATTACTCTAGATTTATAGTGGTGTGATTGAGATCAGAATCTGCCTCCACTTCTCTGATCATGATTTTTAAACAAATCAACTCCAAAAAGATAAACAACATTTAGTTTTCAACAGAACTCAGAAAGGTTCTTGTTTGATTAGAAGTTCTGCAGTAAAAGAAAACATCCATGAAGGCAACTTCCTTCCCAAAGGTTCTAGCAAGGATGAAGGGGAGAGGATGGAAAACTGAGTTTTTTTTATAGACTTTACAAATAACTTATTAATTCATAGGCGCTAAGAAGGAATTTCATACCTCTTGCCCATATGTTCAGTGTCTTTTTTCAACCCTACTTCTTGATGTTTTAGTTTGACTTTTTGCAGCCAACACAACCATTTTAGAGAACAAATCAGTCAGGCACTAATTTGCAGAGGTGACCCATTAGTTTTAGGTGTCCATTTCAGATACTCAGTGCCTGATTTTCAGAGATACTAAGCACTCACAGCTGTCACTGATTTACTCCATATGGCCTTGTGGCTTCTTGGCCTTTTGGCTAAAGTCAAGTGTAGTTTTGTTTAAGATGCATAAACATTCACACCAAATGCAGCGCTTGCTGAAAGGCTTGGTTCAGGCCAGTAACCCCTTGGCGTCATGTCGACCCATATCATTGCCCTCATCTTCTAGCTCTGAAGGTGAACATCTGGCCCTGCCTGGATGCTCTGTGGTGTTCTTATCAAATAATATCTGAAAATCAACCCCTCTGTTTCTCACCCAAGAGATCCAAATTAGTGGTCACTTCCTTACACATTTCAGCTCTGAGACAGAGAAGAATTTCAATGAATGAAGATGAATTGAAAACATTTCTTTAATGGAGCTTGTGAACAGAATATTATTAAAGAGACGGAATAAAATGAAAATAATTATTTTACCCAATAATTAATGTTCAATAGTAATAGTAGTATTTAATATTTATCTAGTTCCTTTAAAGCACTGTGGGACACATGAACTGTCAGTTGGGCTGTTCATCAAAACAGTATAAAGTAGAGCTGGCCGGAGAATGGCAATTCTGTCTTGCAAAAATGTTTGGGGTTTCAAAAATGTGTTTTCATTCTTTATGGTAATGAGTTCAAAAACCTTTCAGAAGTTCTCATGACACAGAATTGTGCTGCAATGTCCATTTTCAGATAAAAAAGGTCAGGTATCCAGATCAGCTGTTTCTCTAGCTCTCAACCATGGACTTCAGAATTCTTCCTGATGAAAAAAATAGTTGAAATTGATATATTTCCATGAAATGTTTCAGTTTTGATAAAATGACTTTTTCTGATTATGTATGTTTAATTGAAAATCTTCCAACCAGCTCTAGTATAAAGGATATGTTGAGAGGAAAATTTATCCTAGAATGAATTTGGGGGCTGGGGAGATAAGCATGAGGGATTCCTAGAAAAAGAGAATGGAATTAGCAGTGTATCTGTTTACAGGTCTTGGATGTCTGCGGGAGGGTGTTAGTGATGCAAATAAGCAAGGGATGGTG